TTACAGTATTCGGCAGCTTCTCTTAGCTGAAACAATTTAAATTTTGAGAATGAAAACTAGCGAAGCGTGCAAAATCGAAACCAATTCTAATTAGAGAAACGATGGTGTTATGAGCACCGCAGCTCAAGAACTCAAACAATGCCAGAAATCTCACAATTCCTGAACAATACAACTACCAAAACCGTCACATTGTTTTTCACCATTACGCATGTTTTCAAAGCTATGTGCCTGGTAACACTTCAGAGTGTGCAAAAAGAGATTTAGCACAAGGGTTTGAAAAATTGTCTTCTCAGAAGTAACGCGACAGCTTTCAACAATAAAAAGGCATTCTTTTTCTTCTCGGTTGTCCAAATCAATGCCTCAGTGACTAGAAACCACCTTATTATGTGTTTTGTGCTGTGTAACAGCAGTACAAAACGCATATTGTCACCATCCACGTGCGACCCCGCCCGCATCCGCGGGTAACACATGCGGCCCCGTAAAAGTTTGGGCGGGTAAAATTATTATCACAGAAACCACGGAAGCTTGAAGGCTGAAATTCTGTGGGATTCAGCTTCCTCCTGCTCGCGGGTAACATGTACGGCTCCAGGAAAATTTTTGACGGGTAAATTATTATCATGAGAACCACGAGTCTAGGAAGCTGAAATTTTAGAGTTGTAACCCACTGCTCAAGAACGATTTTGCAAATTCAAATTCAGCGTTCCCACGCTCTTGAGTATCACCTACGGGCCAGTGAAAATTTTTGCGGGCAAATTATTATTTCGGGAACCACAAAGTCTACAAAGCTGAAATTTAAGGGTAATGACTCCTTGCCAACGTACGACCTTACAAACTCAAGTTCAACATTCCCGCGCTCTCGGTATCACTTACGGCCTCGCAAAAATTTTAGCAGATAAACTATTATTTCGGAAATCACGGAAGGGTATTTGCCCTTCAAGGTTTCAAATTCAGCTTCATGCGTAGGTGCGTAAGATTTTTAAGTTTTTTCAACAATTCAACTACTTTTGCAGAGACTAAAGCACAAAGCAGTGAAAATCATTAATAGGCAATCGTTAGATGGGCGGAATTGCATAAAGCGCATGACTGCACCGGCTAGTTTGGTACGCGTTGCTTTATTTTCTTTGAGATGCCCTGTTTGTTTCAACAACACATTCTCCTAACTTCCTCGTAACATCCGGATAGAATCAATATTCGCTTTTCAACAAATTTTAGCAAAAAAAAACAAGTTTCACTACCCTCTCGGTCAAGTCAAGTTTATTAAAATTTTGCACAACTCCGTTAAATTTTTCACAACCTAAGTTAGCTTTAAGCATCAGTTCGTCATAGCCGGTGCGACTTGGCGCCGCATATTCATGCACGCGCGCAGGAAGAAGGAGGTATACATGAATGCAGTCTTGATATTCAGGTAAAGAGCTTTCAGCTCCAATGAAAAGTAGTTAGCTAAGCCAAGCTCTCTTGTTCTGGTTCTCTGTGTTGCTCATGAGGCATTGGCGGATCCAGGGAAGGAGGGGGAGGGGTTTCTCTTCTAAACTACCCAACATTTCCCCCAATCACATAGCAAAATT